CGCACTTAACCGCTAAGCCACGGAGCCGGCCCAAAACATGTCTTGATGTAGAGATCTGTGGCACAACAATATGAACTTACTTAACACTACTGAACTGTACACTTAAAAATAGTTAAGATGGTAAATGTTATGTTTTTTCCCACAATCAAAAAACAGTTTTGAAGCTGACTTATAAACAATAGGTTTCCTAGGCACTATTTTGCCACAGACAGAAAGTCAGAGCTGTAACGGCTTTAAGACTTGAGTTTTATGGCAGAGACAAAAATTAAGTCTGCTTAAGACACTACAGGAATATCAGTAGTCAGAAGGGAGTCCAGCTGAACATGATCTCATGTAAGCTCTCAAGCAGTGGTTCTCTGAGCGTGATTGGTCCTGGACCAGCAGCATCAACATCACCTGGGAACTTGTTGGTTCCCCACTCCAGGCCTAGTGAAATCAGAAACTCTAGGAGTGGGACCCATCAATCTGTATTTACTAAGGTCAGCAAGCCCATGTGGTAATTCTGATGCACACCAAAGTGTGAGAACCACTGATGCAAAAAGTCATCTTGCACAGTACAGATGTGGGCCACAGCCCAGGGTTTAGGAAAAACTGGGGTGGTTGCTAGTTAAGGGGTTGGACTCTAGAGTCAATGTTTGAACCCCAAGCCCTCTACTCACCAGGTGTGAGCCCTGGAGCAAGTGAGCAGCTGTCTCAGAACCTCAGTCTCCTCATCTGTAAAGTGGATCTCCCCGACAGGGTGGTTGGAAGGACTGCACAGGCTACGGAAAGCCCTTGGCACAGTGCCGGCCAGCAGCAGCCAGCCATGCATGCTGCCTCGGGTTTTATGGCAGCCTAGCCCTGGAGCTGGACGCAAAACCAGCTCCCAGAAAACCTTGGGAAAGGGGTCCTCAACTGTTTGTGGGCCGTGGGCCCCTCGACAGTCCAGTGAAGCCCCCAGGCTCCTTCTCCAAAGAATGTTTTTAGAGGCATAAAGAAAAATACATAAGATTACATAGAAACCCAATTATATTAAAATACACATTATCAATATTAAAATAATAAATGTGTGATATGGTAAAAAAAAAAAAAGGGTAGCCAGTTCCGTGACATGGAGCAATACCACAGCTAAGGTTGGTTTTTCTACCTCTACCTCTCAGTAGCATGTGACCAAAAACTCAGCTGCCTTCTTGGAATGCAGACCCAGTGCCTCTCATTTCGGAGAATGTATAGCAGTAACTGATTCATTTTCTCTCCTCTTCCTTATCCCATCCTTTTTGTCTAAAACCAGGGTGCAAGCACTCTTGATGTCCTCTTTCAAGAACTGGACAAGAATGGAGACGGAGAAGTTAGTTTTGAAGAATTCCAGGTGTTAGTAAAAAAGATATCCCAGTGAAGGAAAAAACAAAACAACATCATTCTAAGCACCAAAAGAAGAGTGCCTGGGATGTGGCCCTACTCTGTATGGAATCACCAAAGTCTCTGTTTAATTCTTTGCAATTCTAATAATCTGGCAGTGAAGACCTAATAAAGAAATTCTTAGACATGTCTTACCTTGTCAAGTACTGACCTCCACAGTTTAATAGCTCTGAAGGTAACCTTAGTCTGACGATCTAATTTTATAGATGAAAAAAAATTAAAAAGGCCCAGAATAGTTCCATGATCTCAACCAAGACTACAAAGCTGGTGTCAAACATTTGGAAAGAATTCTGATGTGCCAAACCAATTCCCTCACTCCATTCTTCCACCAGAATAATGCTGTTCCAAAAAATAAAAATAATAACTGTTCCTTGCTCTCCCTCCCCAACTACTCAGTGCTCACATCCTTTCCAATTTGAACTCATATTTCACTCTAGTCAATAGCTAGTGAAAAACAGACTTCAAAAAACAGACACTTGTCTTTAAAGTCATCTCCCAGCACTCGCTGTGCTTTTTGAATGAATGACCCTCTCAGGGAGTAGAAGGGATACAGGACCAAGAGTCAGTTCTGCTCCATCACCGAGGGGGTGGCCTTGGTTCTGGTATGTGATATGTAAAATAAAAGAGACAGGAAGACAGGGCCCTCCCAGCTCTGGCATCCCGTGTGGCTGGGGCGCTCGGTATCTCAGAAAAACAGTTAGCCCTCAAGTTCCCCTTGTTGAGTCCAGCAGCGGGGGAGGGAAGAGGGGAGAGCGTGGGAGGGGAATTTAACCAAAAAACAGAAAAATGACTTCTAACCCCTCCACCAAGAAACAAAGGAGATTTTAGACACAGTGAGGGAATGTTTACATATAATTTGTAGCATTCTAATTCAACACAAGAGCATACTCATGGCATCAAAAGCCTTAAATATTTCTAAGGACTATATTTCTAATATAGTCTAATATAGTCTAAATATTTCTAATGACTATTTAGAGTGATTATATTCCACTGCAGGGATACCCCATAATAGTCTTAACTATTTCCCCATTGTAAGGCGTTTAGATTATTGTCATTTCTGATTCTTCTAAATAATGTTATAATGAGTACCTGTTCATATCTCTGTCAACATAGCAGATTTCCTTAGGAGAATTTCTGAGAAGCAAATGCCTGAGTCAGTGGGTATTAATATTTTTATGGTTTGTGAAACAGACCACCTAACTGATTTTCCACAGGTTGTATTGATTCATATTTCTACAAACAGGGAAGAGAACACCAGCTTCACTCTTCAGGCAGCATTAGCTGGTCCCATTTTAACAACTTTATTAGTCACAAGAGTGTACATCTTTATTCGTTTCTGTTTTTAACAGGAATCCTCTACTATTTCACCACTGAGTTTACTGTTGGATATTTGTTTGCAAAACGTATTCTTTCTCCTGTCTAAGAAGTACGCTTCTCTTCCTAGTTTGCTATGAGATTGTGCGTACCAGGGTTTAGATACTATAGACTGCCTATTGAGAATCTATGGTGATATGGAGGTTGTCTCTTTTGTTTGATCAATATGATGCATTAATCTATTTAATTCCCGGGATAAATACACTATCCAGTCATGATCAGTTATTCTTTAATGCTTTTTAAATTAGACAGTCTACTATTTTATTTAAGATTTTTCACATCTTTGTTAATAACCAACATTAGTCTATAGTTTGGGATTTTATTTTTTGCTGCATGTGCTTTGTTGAGTTCTAATATCTAGGTCATGCTAGCTTCCCATTTTAGCCTATGTTCTGGATCTCAATGAGCCACTCGCAGAGTAAATACACATTATGTCTTTCAACTCCAATATATATAAAGCACCTACTATGCACAAGGCATTATACAAGATGCCATAGGAGATACAAATTTCCAGAGAGATCTCTGGAAGATCCTAAGATCTCTCTGAGATCCTAAGTCAGTAAGTCTGGGATCAGGCCAGGGAAAGTCTTCATCGAAGAAGTAGTATTTCAACTGGGATTTGTAGGAAAAGCCTTGAGGGGAGCCTACAGGTAAGGGGCAGCACTGGGCATTCAAAAAGAGAGAAAATACTCCAAGTAAACACACCATGTCCAAGTGCAAGGCAGTTCAGGGGGCACACATACTACGTTTTGGGTGGAAAGCCAGCTATGAGGAATAAAGAGAGCACACTGGCTTCAGATCATGGAAGTCCTTGGTTGCCACGCCAAACCAAGGTCAGAAAGGGAGCAGGAAGGTGTAGGAGTCACAGAGTGACGTGAATGTGCTTTAGGAAGATGAGGTGGCACCAACAAAGGGTCTGCAAGGGAGGAGCGGTCAAAGAGTGGAGGCCAGGGTTAGGCAGGAGGCCTCCAAGGCAAATTGGGCAAGCTAGGCAGGTCTCGAAGGAACAATAGCAATGCACAGGAAACGTACGGGAGAGAGACCTTCTCCACCTGGCTGAGATTTACTGACTTGGATGAATTATCGTTTGAGGGTTAACCCTCAAGAAGGATGAAAATGTTGTGTGTGGTGTGGATGTGTGGTTTCTGTATGTGTGTGAGGGGTGTGCGTGTGTATGTACACATGTCTACTTCATTGGCCTTCTTGGGCTGGTTTCCAATGCTGATCTCATCTCCCACATCCAACAGGATTCACCTGAATTTCCTCTTGAGTCAACAGTACCAGCATTTTGTCAGCCACAAAACTCCAATCCTCATTAGACTGTAGGCTCCACCAGGGCAAGAATTTTTATCTGTTCTTTTCACTGATGTAGCGCCAAGTCTAGATCAGAGCCCGGCACACGGGAGAGGCTCAAAAGCTATTTACTAAATGAATAATTCTTGACTATCCAGTCACTAAATCTTATTGACTTATTCCATAAAGCCGCTTTGCCGGCTGGGTCTTTCTACAGTAACTCCCACTCCCACTGGGCTCCTTAGATCGCAGACCGAGGCTGCTGTAATACTCAATCACGTGCCCTGCCTGAAGTCTTTTCTCCCTGTCTATCTCCCATGCTAGCTGAATCTTTCTAAAGCACCCATTCTATTGGAAAGCCCTCAGTCATGAGTATGGTATTTGCATAATACGTCACAGTTAACAGGTATCAGCCTACGGGTTCCCTATTGCCTTCAGGATTAATCTTGGCACTGACACTCAAGGACCTCCACAAATCCACACCAATCTCCTTTGTTTCCCTCCACTTCCCTACAGGAGCCATGTGCTTCAGCCAAGCTACTCCCTATATTGTGACCAAATCTTGGACATTCCAGCCTAGCATATGCCTCCCCTCCTTTCTATGAAGTCTCCAAGCCTTTGACAATCTTCTCTTCTTACTCCAACCCACAGCATTTTTTTCCCGACTCTGAATTCTTAAGTATCTAAGGTCTACTTGCGCGCTGCAATACCATGGCCACTAGATCAGGTGGCTATGGACACTTAAATTAATTAAAACTAAATAAAATTTAAAATTCACTTCCTCGGCCACACTAGCTACATTTCGAGTGCTCCATAGCCCCATGTGGCTAGTGGCTACCATATTGGATGGCACCGATACAGAACATTCTATCATGGCAGAAAGCTCTAGTTGACAGCATTGGTAGCATTAATGAGAGAGTATTTACATACTGCCTATGTATTTGGTTATATATTTCACCAGTCTATGCCTTGTGTCTCCAACTAAACTGCAAGCAGGGCTGTCGCACAGATCATTTGTAATACACTATATTTAGGACTGCACTTAAGTGGACTAGCTCCAAAGGCACAGTGACTTTTTTCTTTTGAATAATGTCTTTCCACTACCATCCAGTTATTTCTACTGCAAAAAAAATCTTTCAAGTGATTGAAATATCTATTCCTAAGGCATTTCCCATTGAGCTCAAGGTATAAAAGCTTTAAAATACATTAGCTTTGAAGAACTCATTTAGTCATTCATTTACTGCTAAAATTATGGACTACCCTTGTGATTCACTAATGGGGGGTTATGCTTAGCTACGCTGTCTCCTTTCAAAAAGTAGACTCAGGTAAGGGGGAGGGCCAGGTGGAAAAGATGCCCTAGCCATTAGGCAGCAGCCATCATGCCTAGAAGAATTTTTCTTTCTCCAGATAGAAAGCAGCTACTATGGCCAACAGCCTGATATCAACTCTGAACCTATCATCCCCATAGAGACAGGATTAAGAGACTATTAGGCTCCCAGACTGGTCCATAAAAGGCTATTTTGCCTACAGTATAGCTGTCTTCTTGATGGCTGCTTTTACGGGAAAAAAGTTCTTTAGCCCAAACTAAGCTCCAAATGACTTCTGTAAGATCATTTTGTTAGTTGGGAGATGCTTACTACAATGTTCTAAATGCAAAGCAGCCTTCAAAGTAATAAAAGTTGCCTGAAAGGTTACTCTAAGTGGAGTCTGGGTTTTTTTAATGCCTAAATTTGCTTTCCATATGAAGCTGTCAGAAAAAAACATGGAAGTAGAAAATATTTCAAACAGGGCTTCAACTAAAGATAGGAAAATGTTATGCATTAGTTATGCTTAATGTGTAACACAAATTATCCTTCACCTCAGTCGACTTTTAATTATATGTGACTATTTCACAAATCCATTGTGTCAGATGTACAATTAATTTTGACTTTGAAAATTCCCAGATCAAAAAGGGGTAAAAGAAGTCATATCTATAATAAATAACTAAAATTAAAATAATCTCAAATTCCCATGTGCATCTGCTTAAAATGCTTTGAATTTCTCACGTTTACTTACCAATACCACCATCCAAGTGTGCATGTGTGTGTTGACATGTTTGAAGGTGGAACATGGATTCTGTTTTCAGGATGTTATATCTTACGTAAATTCAGATTTTTAAAGTTACTATTTTCAGTAAACAGAAAAGAAATGCTAAAAATTAAGCACATCTATCTACCTAAACATCGGATTGAGATCATTCTTCCTATATATGTCTCAAAAGCCAAAAATATTCTAAACATAAAGTCCACAATGCCGTTGTTAAAGAGAAAAACAACAGGCCCAAAAAGGCGTCCTTTGGGCTAAAGACCATGAGACCAAACCTAGATTTCATACCTGACCTAATTTCAGGAATGTAATCTTAATCGACCAGTCTGGAATTTCCTGACTAACACTAGTGAGGCATCTGCAGGATAAAACCCCTGC